AAGTCAGGAAACAACACCTGTTCTTCTTCACAGGAAGTCAGGAAACAACACCTGTTCTTCTTCACAGGAAGTCAGGAAACAACATCTGTTCTTCTTTACAGGAAGTCATGAAATAACACCTGTTCTTCTTTACAGGAAGTCATGAAACGGCACCTGTTCTTCTTTACAGGAAGTCAGGAAATAACACCTGTTCTTCTTTACAGGAAGTCATGAAACGGCACCTGTTCTTCTTTACAGGAAGTCAGGAAATAACATCGTCTCCGATACATAAAACATATAAAATAAAAAATAAATAAAAAACTCCATAGCAGTTTGTTTTAGTTTATTTAAATGTCTAATGTTCAGATGTTTATTCCTCATAATTATTTTATTATGTTTGAGAAATAAAAGCACCTGTCTGTACTTGGTTAACATAATAAACTTTGCATTCTTTGGAGAGTTTTAATTTAATGTTTCATTTTGGCACAAACAGGCTTCCGTACTGGTCTCTGATTAATCTGCGGCCTCATCTCAGTAATTTGCTCCGCCTCCAGATTACAGTCTGTTGAGCGAACTGAACTAATCCACAGAGTTTCTCCACCCCATTATGTGATGGTGAAACTGAAATCACTTCAAATTAAAGCCACGTCCAGGTGTAGGTCCAAACGGGTCGGTGTCACGAGGCCGGTGTCCTTCACAGGAAGGAAAGAGACGGACGTCCTCAACAAATCTTAAACTTAAGTTTACAACGAACCGTTAGGATGAAACACGGTTCTGATCCAGAATCTAATCAAAACAGAACTTTAAAACTACACCGAAATCTTTTTAATTTAACAAAACTAACATTCCTTCAAGGGATGCATATCACCCGCCGCCATGCTTGCCAAAGTTCTAAAGCTCTGACCCGATCCGTTTGTTTCCTTTAGTGGGTGGGAGCAGAACCGACCCATTAGCTCAATGGTCTGGTCCAAATCCAGCACCCAAACTGAGGTGGTTTACAGAGACATCTGCAGCAGGTAAGATGTTAACTCTTCAGAACTTTCACAGAACTTAATATCCCTCAAAGTTTGATGATGACGAGCTGGTGTTCCTCCCCCTCCCCTACCCAGCATGCCTTGCTGCAGACTGAGTGTTAAACACCGGCACCGCTCCAGAACCTCCCCGGAGGATCATTAAGCAGCTTCACTCTGAGGCGAGTTATGATGCCGAGGATCGATCTGCTCCGATTGGTCGAATGATCCCTCAGGGAGGAAGCAGAGGAAGGAGAAGTCTTCACTTCCTGTCTGCAGGAGGCGGGCTGGACCACGACCACAACCGCCACTATCAGATCTGTTCATGTCAGCCGACAGAACCAGCAGCTTCGGCTGTTTGTCTCAACCACAGAACCAGCAGGGTTCGGCTGTTTGTCTCAACCACAGAACCAGCAGGGTTCGGCTGTTTGTCTCAACCACAGAACCAGCAGCTTCGGCTGTTTGTCTCAACCACAGAACCAGCAGGGTTCGGCTGTTTGTCTCAACCACAGAACCAGCAGGGTTCGGCTGTTTTTGTTTTAAACAAAGCTTCAGTAATCTGCTTGAGAAAAGATATGCAGGAAGTGGTTTTTAATCAGCTCCTTCAGCTTTGAGGAGAGTGGAACGACTGCTGAAACACGCCGAGAGCTGAACGACTGCTGAAACACGCCGAGAGCTGAACGACTGCTGAAACATGCAAAGAGCTGAACGAATGCTGAAACACACAGAGCTGAACAACTGCTGAATCATGCAAAGAGCTGAACGACTGCTGAAACACGCAGAGAGCTGAACAACTGCTGAATCATGCAAAGAGCTGAACGACTGCTGAATCATGCAAAGAGCTGAAGGACTGCTGAAACAAGCCGAGAGCTGAATGACTGCTGAAACACACCATGAGCTGAATGACTGCTTAAACACACAGAGCTGAACAACTGCTGAATCATGCAAAGGGCTGAACGACTGATGAAACGCGCAGAGAGATGAACGACTGCTGAAACATGCAGAGAGCTGAACGACTGCTGAAACATGCAGAGAGCTGAACGACTGCTGAAACACGCAGAGAGTTGAACGACTGCTGAAACACGCCGAGAGTTGAACGACTGCTGAAACACACAGAGCTGAACAACTGCTGAAACACGCAGAGAGCTGAACGACTGCTGAAACACGCAGAG